GCTCCACCCTCTTGAGCGAGTCGCGGGCCTCTCCCGCGCTTTCAGCCGGAACCTTCGGGTGTCTGATCCGGTGGCTCCTTTGGAATATTTCGTTCTGATTCAGAAGTCCGAGTATCTTCTTAGACTGCTCAGATTCCTGGAAAGTGCAGGTTGTGTTTTGTTGGGCTAGGAAAGGGCTGGCCTTTTGGGGCGCTAGGTGCCCCCCTTCCCCCGCTGGTTTCTGACCAGAGAGCCTTTTCACTCACCCGCAAGGAAAGCTTGTGTAAAACTGGAGTTAGTGCTAGACAAACCGTTGTTCACTTTATCCTGACAGACTGCGTAGAAGCAATAGAAGACCTAACATTTCGGAAATTTTTTCAGTAAGGTGCTCACCACAGCTGATATTTATTGAATTGTGTGTACAGCTGTGAGCCAAGGGCTTTTGAAATCTTCGTAAAGGATTTTCTGATACTGTCTCATATTCTTATTTTACAGGTGAATAAACTGAATCACAGGTAAAGGAGGAAAATCTTGTTCCCAGTCTAACTCTAGAGTAAGTGTTCTTAAATACATAATATGATTAGTGTACAGAATCCAGTACTACTAAGAACTGAGTCTGTTATTAGTGGGTATTGTTCTTCCCTTAAAAAAAAATGTTTACTCACCCTTGAAGCACACTGATCCTTGTGAGTTAGGAAGGGCTTGGTTTTAGGTGAAATACAGAAAAACATGAGGCCACTGTACACTTTTAGGTGTCTTAATTGTTTTGCTGTAATTAATCGCTGTAGACTAGATAGTTTATGAAAAATAGGAATGTTTCCCACAGTTGTGAAGTTAGGCATCCAAGAACAAGGTGTTAGTAGGGTCTGTGCTGAGGTGAGCTTTCTGGTTTGAAGCTGGCTCCTTCCAGCTGTGTCCTTAGTGGTGGAGAGAGCAAAGGCTCATCCACCTACTTCATAAAGGTTAACCCATCCCTCTGGTCAACTCCTAAAAAGATGTTACTTTGAGGGCTAGGATTTCAAAGTCTGGATTTTGAGGGCACACACTTAGACCATAGTAGTGGCCATATATTTTTTAAGGTTGCCTTCTTGGCCCTATCCTTGTTTTGCAGTAATCTGAATCAGTCAATCTACCAAGAACTGGCCCGTGTTTTGAAATTGTCTCTCAAAATAGTAAAACAGAAGCTGGGTGTGGTGGCATACACCTGTAATCCTTAGGAAGCTGAGGCAGGAGGATCATGGTGAGTTCGAGGCCAGTCTGGGCTACATTAAGTTTGAATTCTGCCTGAACTACATAGCAAGACACTGTCTCCAAAAAAAAAAAAGTAAAATACATTTTATGGGTTTTTGCTTCTTTAATAATTCGTTTATTTACTCTGCTACACCCCCCCCCCTCTTCATCCTGTGAAAACAACCACATTTAGAAAATTAACATTAATTTTTTTTGTTTTTTTTTTTTTTTTTTTTGTATGAGGGATTGAACTCCGGGACTCTGAGCTAAATCTGGGGCCCTACCTTGATTCTTGTATGCCCTACACACCACAGCTTTTCCCTTGTTTTGGCTTTATTTAATCTTTTTTTTGGTACTGGGGATCGAACTCGGGTCCTTGTGCTTACAAGGCAGGCAGCAGCACCACTGAGCTAAATCCTGGCCCTGGCTTTATTGAATCTTAATGTTTACTATCAGTTTTTCTATTCCTTTCATCATCTGAATAAAAATTTTGATTTGCCAACAAATGGGGACTTTTCAAATTTTATAAACTGTTCTTTGGGAAAAAAATATTTAGATAGCTTTGGCCACCATTTTAATAGATTAATATCTAAGTGATATTAAGTCAAATGAATATATGCAAATGTACCTTTGTTGGATAAAGACTTTGGAGTCTTTTAAGAATATACACAAGTAGTTATTCCCATTTCAACTATATATTAAAATTGCTTATAAAAGTAAAGCTCTTTATCAGTTTTGGTCTTAGTGCCTGCCAGAAACATTAGGAATTTCTGTAAAATATAGTACAGAGGAATTTGAGCAAATCACTAATGGCTGACTCAAGACTCTTCCTGCTGAAATAACAGCAGGTTAGTAAAGGACACCAGAGCACAAAGTGAATGCTAAAATGGAGAGATGAGGGCTGGAAACTAAACTATAGAGTAGATGTAGTAGAAATAGAGCTCTGTTCTTGTCTCATCACCATGGAGCAAATTCTTTCAAAAGTGTCAACATTGGCAGGCAGCAATTATCCATGGAGAAATCTGTTGAGTTTCTGGAGTTTTAGTCACTATGCAGGAGATAGCATCACCAGCAGGGACACAGATAAAGGCTATAAAATAAAACCTAGGAGAAATATCTGTTCTTCTGCTGTCCTGGGCATTAAAAGGCACCCCTCTCTCTTTGGATGTACTTTGTAATTTTAGAGTGTTTGAATACCTCTTACAGGGAGTGGATCCTAGTTCCTTGAAACTTAAGCCATAAAAGATTAAAGGACTTGCAGAAATGATGAAGGGAAAATGAAAATTGTTATGAGAATTTTGGAATTTGAAGCGAAGTTCGTATTTTAAACTGAACTGAAAAGTAGCACAAATTTTGAGTATTTTATTTGTTGTACCACAGTGTTTGAAATGTGGTTCATCATGAATAACCTGACAAACATGGAAATAAAGACACCTGAGCATAACTTAAGTAATAGAAAAGGCAGTGATTATATTGACTCCCCTAAGGGATCTGTTTATACCCATTCATTTTAATTTCAATAATTATATTGTTTTCTAAACTACATCCTCTGGTCTTTGTGAAAGTGGCCTATTTGTTCACCATAATTTCTATTATTTTTCTGTCACTCTTTGCCCTCTACAAAGGTCTACCTAATAATGGGTCTTTCTATATCAGAAATATAATAACTCTTCCTGTTATTAGGTAGCTTGTTTCTAAAAACTGGCTTTCCAACTAAACATTGCCAGGTTTGGAGTTGCTTGCCTCCTTCCAGAGTGGATTCCAGGTTTTCGTCTGAAAGAATCGAAGGAAACAAGCAAAAAACAATGCAAAGTTTGTTCAAGAAAATAAAAGTGAAGCATGAAAGAGAAACTGGCTCTACAGAGCAAGCTTGGACCAAAGACATAGAAAAAGAGGGTAAAAGCAAAGATAAAAGTACATGCTTCATCTGGGAAACAGTGTGGGCTATCATGGAAAATTATGCTAATCAGCTCTTAATGGCTTTTAAAATCTCTCCTTTTATATTGTCCAAATCTAGAGGAAACCCAGGGAAACTTCTACATCTGGGTCCTGAAAGGCGGTGCTAGTCAGGTGTAGGCCATCCAATTAGAATCCTGCTGGAGTTCTTGCAAGAAGTCCACAAGCTGAGCTTTCAACTGTTTTGTGCCTATGTCTGGGATCTTGTAGCTAAAGGTCAGCCCACTTCCCCAGCCACCTTTTTCCAAGCCCTATTTTCCTATCCCATTCTATCTGTACCTTTGATTTCTAATGAAAGCTGGACATGATGATGCACACCTCTAATTTCAGCATTCTGGGAAGCTGTGGTAGAAAGAGCGCAAGGTTGAGCTCAGCTGGGGCTACTTAGTGAGACCTAGTCTCAAAAAAAAAGGACCGAGGATATAGCTCAGTGTGAAGAAGCTCGTTTCAATCCCCAGTATCACCCCTAATTCTTTATGGGATTAATTACGACCTCTTTAAGTCATGTCTGGCTTTTCATTATTTGTTCTCAAAGTATTTTCCTGGATTCATCTGTTGTTTTCTTTGTTAGATTATCATATTTTGTTATTATTGTGAATCAAGCATGAACGGATGACAGGAAGAAAATATTCAATAACTTGTTAATGAATAGATGAATTAATGAATCCACTAGGTGTTTATAGAATGCCAGCATTGTGCCAATGATTGCATCAGGTGCTGGGATACAAAGATGAATAAGATGTGACCTTGTATCCAAGGAGTCTATAGATGAATATAGAAGACATATGTAAAGACAATAAGCAGAGGTAGAGAAGAGGAGTGAAATGCAATCTAGATAGGTTACACAAGAAATGGAACAAAGGGCGAACAGTGTATGAAGCAAAGCGTAGCAAGACTTAGTGTAAGAAATATGCAGAAGCCAGACTATAAGATCTATCTGCTATCTGAACTTCTTGTTTTTCTGAAACATTATTAACTTCTCTGTCTCTGCCTATGCTGACCTTGAAATGTCAGCCCCTTTCAACATCCCCCCCTCATGTTTCTATTTCTACTTTAACACCAAAATCTTACCCATTTCTGAAAAATGATTTACAGCCTCCTCTGTATTCCCTTAACCCTTTATCCTGCCTATCCTTCTGTACTCTTCCTATTGTGAAATACCTTTGTGTTACACCTCAGTGCCTGGGACACGGTAAACACTTAAGAAATATTGGTTAAATGCAAAAAAACCTCAGGGGTTCATTTGCTGTTTTCTTATTAGCTAGAGGGGAAGAACAGTTTAAAAAGAAAAAAAGCCTGAAAAGACTGAATTTTGGAATATACAATATACAATACACAAAAATACACAATACACTATACAACGATACACAAAATAGTCAATTATTTTAAGGTCCAGCAAATTAATGGTAGTTATCTCTTATTGATCTAACACTGAAGACTTCTAAAAATAGCTGCCAGCAAAATAATGTGCGTGTAATATCATTAGTGACTACCATGGCTGGGGATTTTTACATTAAATTATACATTCCAGTTTTATGTTTCAGAGAGCTCTCAGCACCATATCCTTCGCACAGGATATGCTCTTTCTTTTTGGCCTGTATATTAAAAACAACGTTCTCCTGTACTATAGGAAGAACTGGAGTTTCAGAATGAAAGAACAAAAAACAAAATATGTTTCCCTTCCTTAGTTGTTGTCAGTGTCTAATTTCCAACCCTCCTTTGTACTTCCTTATTATATACACCGACTCCTACTACATGTATTCATGTTTGTCTTCCTGCAATATGAACACTTTGATCTGCAGACTTGTCTTATTAGTGTCTGAAAACCTAACCTCCAGCCCAATCCTTGACAGAGTTGTGCTTCACCAATGCTTATTGAATGTATGAACAGCTATTTAAATATATGAAGAAAATCCATTCTCGATTTCCCACACTTTTCAGATGAAAGGTGGTGGGTGTTTTGTTGTTATTTTTACCCACGTTTGAATACCTAATTATTCCAACAAACACTAATGTACATGGAACTCAGGGATTATTTAGATCCCTATCTGCCTTTTCCCTTTCCCACTTATCTCCAGACACAGACTTCCACTTCACCTCTATCCCAATATGGGTGGGTGACAAATGGAGAATGCATACATTCCTGATTGTCGCCTTTTGGTTTTCACTCTTCTATACTTCATTCTCCACAAGCTCCACATCCATCCATAAGGAAGCGATTTTGCCATTTGGATTGCAAGTCTTCAGGCCACGATAATGGGGCATTAATGAATTTTTAAGAGTTTAGAGATTTTTTTTTTCTTTAAAATTGAAGTATTTGTGGGAGATTCATCAAAAAAGATGAGGCTTTAGTGACCCAAATCTGTT